CATGTACTGTACATGTACATGTACCTGTGTACTGCAGGTACATGTACATGTAGTTTATGCTGCATGCCATTAACTTCATGTGGCTGAGAAAGACTCAGCACAAAACTTTCATGATAATGAGGATTAACTGCAACCTGCATCGTGGCAGTGGATATCAGAAGTTCAAATATTCATGATCACCCTGATGACACATCCTTTAAAAATTGCCCGGAAGGATACCGTAGTTCTACATACATGTACCTGGAAAAGCCATTGTATGTGCCGGTACATGTACATGTATGTGAGCAAGGGAATGTGGGTAGGATACACATGTTCATGTACAACATACATGTACTGATACTGTAGGCCTAATGGCTGAAGGGCTGGTCATGCTTTGAAGGTACATGTAGTTAGTAACAATTGGCACAGAAGTGAACACAAATGCACTTTAATGAGGTTAGGTCAGATATTTGCTGAATACATTTCAACCAAGTGAGTAAAGTTTGCTGCAAGTGTTTTATTAATTACATGTACATGTAATTTGCTTAACATTCACATTTGCCTGAAGTTGGTACAATACACGTAGTTCATGTGCATGTAATTCTCAGTGCAAAATATTCAACTTGTTATGAGTGAAGTAAATTGTAAAGGTAAGATTGGAAAAGATTAAAACTTCAAATCTAGACTACCAAAACGTTCTGACATGTGTGTGTGTACATTTACATGTACCGGTATGTACATGTACATGTACAGGTGTATGTACTTGTATGAAAAAGTACATGTACCGTATATGCAGTACGTACATGTACTTGTACTAGTACTTTGCTGAGTACTTAAATTTTTCTAAAAACTTAATTTTACAAAACAGTAAAACATGTACTGTGTTAAGCCATGGAGATTTATCTTCCATCTTTTATCAGTATCCCATACATGCAGTACCTTATGCATTTATCCTGCGGTACCAGGCTCCAGCCCATGTTTCTCAGCTTTTTTTTTTCAATCAAAACATGCACAGTGTGTGTGGCTTTAGTCCAACTCTAGTCTCTGATTTTTACCATGAGTGCAGCAGTTTCAGATCACTTGTCACTTCTGAAATGTCAGTTTGGGAATTTACAGTTGGTGATCTTATTCAAAACACACTTGCCTTCAGTTTCAGTCCCTTGTTTTTCTGTTGGATTATCAGGAAGCTTGGAGCTTACAGACTTGGAACTTAAGCCTGAGGCATTGGTAAGTTGACTTCACTGAAGTGTTTATGTCTTGCCTGTGCTTTTACTCTAAATGTTAATTCTGCCTACGCAGCAGAGATATGGTGCAAAACAAACAGTGTAGCATCAATTGTCTGGCTGCATTGATGTGCTATATTTTCCCATAAACTTCAGAGCAGAACAGTATTATTGGTTGCACTTGCAGAGGTCGTTTGAAGGTTAAAACATATTGGACAAGATGCTCAATAAGGAAAGTACGAAATAATGAGCAGAACAGTGACTGAAATGGCTTGAACATGTATAATACATATATCAGTATGAAGGCCTGCAGGTTTTTGATAATTACTTTTTGATGGATCTTTATACATTTTGTACATGACCGGTATTGCACATTGTACAGAGTCGGTGTCATGAATGTTTTACAACAGTTGCCTTATACAAAATCCTTCCCGTCAGTAAAGGGGGCAAGAGGAGTGTCTAGTGAAACCTCACTAAAATTGTCCATCATGTACTACAATGTACATGTAGGCCTACTTCAAATTCATGGTCAGTGGAAGATTAAACCAAGTATGCTTTTCAACAATAATTTACCGGTAGTTACTTTTTTGCAAACTACAAACCACACGTAGGCTGTACATGTACCTTTAAATGTCAAGTGCAACTTTGATGGGAGCAATCACAAGTACATGTACCACTGGGTACCGGTACAGTGTACATGTACATGTATGTCCGTGCTCTCCCAACGAAAATGACAGGTCTTGCTTACATTGTGTTGATTGTGCTTGACTGCAGTATGAGCTGAATCTTCCCATAGAAGTCAAGGCAGGACACATCGGTAAGTACATTGTCTGGTAGATTCCTGCTCTTGTGCCACACAGGATGCAGTACAACATTGAATGTGTGCTCAGTGTACATATGGTTTTGCCAAGATCGGAAGTCACTCGCTGAAAATAAATTTCACCACATTTTTATCTCGTCCTGGATGTAGCAGTTCAGTTTTCTTGAAGAGAATTTGTTATCATTTGACTTGGGCGTGCATGTTCAGTCTATGCATCAACAGACATTAGAATCTGAGAATGGAACAGTGAGACAATATTTTTTAGCTTTTCGTTTCGTACTAGGCTTCCTTTGGCCTGGATTGGGTTTAAGTAGTGATGTGAATGGTGTTTTTTGGCAGGTATATGTACATGTGCTTGCACTGCTACAATATGACCTTCCTTAATTGTATTATCCAGCAGATTTCTTGGTTGCGTATAATGTAATCAATTTGATACATGTACATGTACATTGTACGTCGGCTAGTTTGAAAGTATGAGTAATTTGTCGGTTGATTGTTTTTTTTGTTTTGTTTTCTTGGAAGTATCCACTATTCTCTCCAAATCCAATGTGCAGGGAAACTGTAGTGTGTTCATTGTATAAAATGATACATTGTACCGGTGCCTTATTGAAACCCCTTGTACAGTTGTAAGGCAATATTTGCTGGGCTGTGCATTCCATGATCTTTGAGAAATGACAGAGCTCAGGAGTTTGACTTTGTGAAGATTTGGGGCAGTGATGGCCCATTTGCATCAGTTACTTGAATGGAAGCATTTGCTTTTTTGTGTGTGTTTGGCCCAGGGAGAATCATCGCTGACATCCAGTGGACCTCCTTATTTTCCAAACCCCTCAGTGTCTCTGTTGAAGATGTCTTGATCCTAGCTGGGCCGGTCTATGACAGACCCTATGATGAAGCCAGAGAGAGACAGCTACAGAATGCTGTCAAGAGAAAGCTCCTGGAGGACCTGGACAGAGCCAAGAAGACACAGAAAGTCAAAAGTAGGTCAAGGACCCCATAGCTCAGTCAGATACTTAAATCCAAACTGTTGAAAATCATTGAATATTCTGCCTGGGTTTTATTCCATGCATACCGGTAGTTTTGCAGACTCTGCAGATCACATCTGACAAGTGTCTATTGCAGTGTGTCTACTGTGTACCCAGGTGTTTGCAAGTTCAATATGACAAGGTGTCAAGCTGTCACCTAAGGAAGCTGTCGGGTTCAGTATCTGGTTCAAGGATCCTTGCCTACCTACACCTGTCCCTGTGCACATTCATTATGTCAAGAGTATACTGTGCTGTACTGCTCAATTTACCGCTCAAGTAAGGTCAAAGTACAAATAATAGGATATTGCAATTGGAAGGCAGTGGTACGATAGTTGTCTTACAATTTAGCATGCCTACTTTACAATTGTGTTTATACAGTTGTGTTGATATTAACCAGTCAATCAACCAAATTACATGTACATATATGTCTCTGTGCATGTGCCTGAATGACATAAATGAGCTTTTATCAAGGGGAGCTGCACATTATGGATATGAGCATATTGTAAACAAGAAAATATTGTACATTTATGCATGATGTGTTCAAGTACTTTGTACACTTGCCCTTTTTGAAAATAATGGTCTGGTGCCTATACAGTGTACATGGAGGTGATTGGCTCAAAATGGCAGGTATAACCTACATGTACATATTGTACACTGTACAAATGCTTCATTAACACTTTGATCTTCAGTACATTTCGAGCAAAGTGGATACCATTAAACCATTCATATCAACCCTCTCCCATTCACATGTACTTTAGTTGTAATCTTTGTTTTATATTCATTAAGTTTTACTTCTATCTTGTAAACATGAGTTCCACTCAGTAAGAGTCCACGTTTGCCATCAATACATGTTATAAAATGCTGCATTTTTTATTCTCAGGTAAAGAAGAAGAAGCTGAAGATCTGTCCTTTACGGAGAGATTGACAATAAACATTGTCAACAACATTCAGGTATTGGTACATGTACATGTAGACATGCTTTTTCCATTTGACATTTGTATTACAAGCCAAGGCAATATTTTTCTTCTTATATTGGTCAGATTGTAGCTGACTCTTGAGCCTACAACGTACATGTACTTTGGTTGCAGTTCCATGTGAGGAATGTCCACGTCCGATATGAGGACTCTGCCACAAGACCAGGTGAACCATTCGCTTTTGGGTTCACACTCAGACGTCTCTATGCAGAGGTAAGAAACCACAGCAGAATTTTTGAACTGCTAAGCTTATAAAATTCACTGGAGGAGAACTGAGTTGGTAGAGAGACAGATCCAACAAAACTTACTTTAAAATTAGAAATAGAATTGTTTCTTACGTGAATCCTTTGTTTTTACAAAATGATAATGTCGTGATTAAAATCTGGAACATTTGATCAGCTTGCTTTGGTGTTTATATTCTCCCAGACAGCAGATGAGGCATGGCATGCAACGACTGTGGACGCTAGTGCTACTGTTGTGCGCAAGGTACCATAATTAGTCTGAATGTCCCATTTCATGTTATGGTTTCCACTTTACATTATTTAAGTTTACTGTGTATCTCATTCAGAAGCAAGAAGAGTGAGACCATGTCTGAATATTAGGGCTTTGGCTTGAAATTACATGACTCAATGAGAAGTGGGTGAAGCCACAAACACTAACGCATAATTTCAAGCTGCAGGCTTATTGTACTTGTAATGTGCAAATACTCAAAAAATTTGGTTGCTTACTCTTTATCCACTTCATGCCGGATGGAGTAAGCAGGATGCATGACCTGCTGCCGGGTGCTTTTTTTGTGATTTTCCAGTTTCAAAATTCTTCAAAAATTCATATCTTCATTTACTGCATGGGTGCTCCCTAACAAATGACTGTCTTGTTGTGAGTCTAAACTGACAGGCAACCTCCATTGACTCATGAGTATTGCAGCCTTGCCTACCACCCAGTAAAGAGCCCCCATGGTATGGCATTATATATAGGCCGCGATGAATCGCATGTCTGATAGCCCGGGGCAATCAAATTTTCATTTGGGCAATTAAAATTCTAACTAGGTGTGCCCGTTCGGGCAAGTCCAGAAAAGCTGATGTCTTTTCTGTCTTCACAAAATATCTTTCAATAACTTGTTTTCACGTTAAAATGCTTGTTTTTGTATGTTTTCGTACTTACATTTGCAATTTTTGGAAAGAAACTTCCGTTATTTTTACGACTTCTCATTCACATTTCGCTGTCGCAGTGGTGAAAACATGCGTGCCCACAGCTCAATACATTAAACGAAGCTGCTCTGGTTCCCGCCGCGCCGCGCCCATGCAAAGAAATGTAGCAACCAGAACCAGTCTATACATGTACTGTACATGTACGTTCTGGTTGATTACTCTACATCGGCCATACATGCACACAACCCTAAAGCCACAGGTCAAAAAAATTGTTGTTTCAAGAGGTTTTCTGTAAGTTCCTTCACAGAACTTGGCCTCTTATTTATGTGTGTATTTTCTGTGTTCATGAGTTTAATTTGAGTTTGATTTGCTCGTACTTGAAGCGGGCGTCTTTCAACAAAGTTCCTACCACGGTACAAGGTTTTTTGCCCACTGGTCTGGATGCCTCGCACAGGCTTACCACGCGATACATTGTTTGCCAGTTTGCCATCGTGATTGCCTGAGTCACACTTTGTGAATTGCTCATAATTCTTGTGAATTGTCGCCTGTAGAAATGTTTACATAGATTAAGACAGGTGTTCATCACTTTTTGAGATAATTTTGGAAGCTGTGGTCCCCGTTCATGCCATTCAATCAAGATAAAAAAAATTGACCCCCCCTCCAAAAAAATTCCAATCTACCGACCCTATTTTTAAGAGGCATGTAATTGGAAGCGCAACTATTTTGGGGGCCCAATAAAAGACTGCATGCATGCAGTGGGCCTAAATTACATAACCATAATAATCGTGGATTCCGAGAAATCTTGGGCAAGTGTTAATCTAATTCGGGCAAGTAAATTTATGGCATGGCCTCCCGATCAGGCAAGCTAAAAAAAAACTTGTCGCGGCCTGGTTATGTAATTCCTTTGTTGTTATGGAAATTGGCCCAGTGCATTGCTGGACGGCGATGTTGTCTGTACTAATGCGGCCAGAATCCATGAGCACCCAGCGGTATTGTATCGATCATTGATGGAATGCTGGAGCGCTTTTGTCCCCGCTGATAATCTGCAGGCACTGGTAGTGGCAAACAATACAGTTTCAACATAATGATGGATTACCTCCGCTAATACCAGCACTCTGCGCTGACAGCATATCAACCTTGATTGTAAAATATTTTCTGAGTTTGGTCACCCTGGCCAAGACTGAAGGCCCGGTTCCAAAGTTCTGATTTCAGGCACCCCGGCCAGGAAGATATGGCCAAGGTCTCTGGCACCAGGAACCCTGGCAGGAAGTGGTTATAACAGTTTGGAGTGTGAATGTATATTAATTCTGCGTAATACCAGCTTGAAGTGTGATTCCTAATGAAAGTAATAATAATAATGATGGATATTTAAATTACACTCTTCCACTGTTATTAGTGCGTATGTCATAATTAATACCAGCCCCATGGCCATCAACATAAACAGCTCATTGCTGCCATTTCAGGTGCAAACACAATGTGTCTGCCCTGACAGGTACCCATTTATACACCGGGGGGGGGAGAAAGAGCAGTGGGAGTACAGTGACTTGTCCAACATCACAATATGTAACCAGCTACTGGATTGAACTGCTGACATATGTTTGGCAGAAAGAAACCCTAAGCACCAGACTACATGCCTGAATAGAGATTGGCAAATCAGTTTGAGTTTAATGGTAAATTTTGTGTGTTACAAGTATGAAAGCTCTACAGCCTTCGTGAGTTTGTGATAAGTGAGTTATGAGTCTGAATTATGTTGTCCTTAGCTTGCAGAGATGAATGAGTTAGCTGTGTATTGGAACCCAGACTGTCTGCAATTAATGGGTCAGCACCTGACCTCTAATGCTTGGAGAGAGATGATGAGGAATGCAGTAAATAGCCACAGTATCAATGGAGAGAACTTGGCACTTGGTAAGACATCAAACTCTGTCTCATTCAATTCCTCCTAGTGTGTTTCCACATGTTTAAGTAGTTGCATCATGCAAAGTGTTACATTAAAAGGTTTTCTGTAAAGTCACCTCATGTACAGGAGATCATATGAGTATGGAAAGAAATTAGAAATGTCACTTAGCATAGTGTTCTTGCAGTTACATTCACATGTAGATGATAGCGGTCTGTTTCCCTTTCAAAGACAAAGTATGCTAGCTTGGTAGTTTCGTCAGAAATCAAAGACTAACATGTACTTAGAAAATAGTGTATGTGAAAGATGCTATTTTTCTGTATGGTGGTGGTGCTGTAAAGCAAATAAATAGTATAAATGCCAACTCATATTACAGACTTAATTGTTATAACTACATGTAGTTGGTGTCTGAAAGCTTGCTGCCGTACATAGACCTTGTATGTGTGACCCAACCTTACAAAATGAGTTTTAAGTCCCCAGAGCCACTTTTGAGCTACAGGCCTTAATAAGAATCTTGCACAGTGTCTCCTATCAATAAGAACCCTGAATTTTTCCAACCAAATACCGGAGAGCTCATTTTATTCTTTCTAATGCTTAATGAAATTGAATGAGTGAAAACAAGGCCTGAAGATTCTATTTAATGGAATCTGATTGCACAATTGTGTGACAGACAGAAATTTGTTACTACAGTTTACCAACATGTTCCAACCACCGTATTCTTCATTTCAGTGGTTGAGCCTATGACCACGGCTGCTCGTCTTGCCTTTGACAAGACCACAGCTCCAGAGTACCTAACGCCCATGCTCGCCGTGGACATCTTGACGGAGATGGTTGTCATGACGCTATCCCACCAGCAGTATCTGAACATCCTGGATCTGATTGAGGGTATGAAGCTGATGGAGGTGAACCAGCGCTACAGGAAATACCGTCCAGCCGTCAGGTCAGCTGGACATGCCAAGGAATGGTAAGAATAACCTCCAAATAGAGATACATGAAGTTGAGTTTGAAGGCTTATGAGATGAGAAATATCTCAGTGCTTGTATAAATGGTCCCATTTCTCGCACGTGATTCATTTTGATTCCTTTTTGGTGGTACGGATTGTTGGTGCATGAAGCCCTAGGCTGTCACCAATGTGACCCTGGTTCAATTCCTAACCCTGGCAATGTACGACTAGAGTAGTTTGTTGAATCCCTTATGTGCCGTGAAGGTTTTCCTCCTCGGATATCTCATTTTCCTCCTTAAGCAAAACTCAACATTTTCGATCTCTGGGCTGTACGTTGTGAGATATGGGTTGTTACATGGCTGCTTAAGTTAGCTTCACATAGCTTTGGTTCGATTATGTTGTGGCTGTGTCCCTTGAAATTCAGCTTTGTGGCTGTAAGGATGATAACCCCCTCTCCCATGAACAGGTTGCATTCTCATTGGAAATGGTTACTCATTTGGGACTATTCCCCTGCTCAACAGGTGGAAGTATGCCTATAACTGCATCGTTGAAGAGCACATACGACCCTGGTCCTCCAAACGGCTGGAAAAACACAACCAGCTATATCGGCAGTACATGGACAAATACAGGGAGAAACTCACTGTGCTTGAAAACAAAGAAGACCCAGCAACGGTGAACAAAGAGCTTGTCTTGTTGGAGGAGACATTGGATGTGACAAGTATTATGATTGCCCGAGAGAAGGTCAAAATTCAAGTAAGAACTCTCAAAAGTAGTGTTTTGTTGAAATGGCATTTGTGTCTGTTGGTAATCTCTGACTGCAAACATACACTGGTAGTTTTGATGTTTTATTCAGTATTGGCTCAAACGGAAGACTAAACCCCACTTGTGAATATACAGTTTGCCAAAGGGGCTCCTGAGAGGGAGAGGATACGGAGAGAGAAGAAAAAAGCTGAGAAAAGCTGGTTGTGGAGCTGGCTTGGATGGGACTCGGACTCTGAGGACGAAACGGAGGAAGATACAGATGAAGACGGTGAGTACATGTACCAATACTAGGACAGTATTGAAGACTAAAGGTAAGATGACATGGACAATGACAAACTACTGGTGCATGAAATTGTGTCAACTGCAAGGACAGTAAGTAATGACAGTAGTTTAACATTGCATCAAAGTTGGATGTTGAGATGTTGGATGCTGGATGTTGAGCCGCCTGTGATAGGACTGTGTTGAAGAATCTGAGGATAACACAGATGACGGTTAATGTTGAGTTATGGCCAAAAAAAGCCGGGTGAGGCTCAAGACACGAGTTGAATTGGTCATAAGACCATTTTGTAACTTGTATGTTTGGGATTTCTTTCACCAGATATTTGGTCCCAATTGACTGAGGGGGAGCAAGAACGAATCAAGAAAGAGATTGGATATGATGCCAAGGCCATGGAGCTTGCTAGTGATCTTCCTCCTGAGGTAAGGGGATCCAGGATTGCTTGGATTAATCCAGTCAGGAAAATACCCAAGTATTAACACAAGCTGTTCTTGAGAATCTAGGAAATGTTGCCTTTCAGTTGAGGGATGTCTTAGATGTGTTCCTTAGTGTTTACCGAAAATGGGTCACTTGGGAGACATTCCCAGAACATGCACAAACTTTACTGCCCCATAATTAAATATTCCCTAATCTGATCTGAACCAAACTTTGTATGTTTTCAATTTAGACCCTAATCTATCATCTCTCAAAATTTGGGCAGTGAAATTCGGCCTCCTTCTGGTAGCCGGGGCATTAGGATGACATTGAAATGTCTCCCTAATGACCAATGTCTCCCTAAGGTTGAAAAATTTACCACAAAATGTTTCCCTAATGACCCATTTGTAAGAATAGGTCACAGAACACAACAGAACAGAGGCTGTCCATCCTTAATGTTAACTGTCTGTGGTTAACCCATGTTAGAATGTTATATTATAGGAACAATAGAAAGCAGCATGGATATTCATACATGAATGGATATTCATACAAGTGTGGATGAGCACAGTAAGTTTAAAAGAAATGTATTGCTAAACACTTTTCTTTACCCCAGTCAGAGGGCAGTTGTAATGGTGTGCTATAATTTCTCTGGTATGGGACAGTCAAAAATAGCTGTACATGCAGGTACATCATGTGGTTGATTTATATACTTCTAAAAAGATGGCCTTTCTTTTGCATTGCACAGTATGTCCAAAATAAGTTCAACTTTCAGTTGAGCACTTGCAATGTGGTCCTGAAGAACAGTGGGATTACAATCCTGCAATCATCACTGCACAATGTCCAAGCTGGATTCATGCACAGACCAGGATCCCAAGGTTTCCAGTAAGTAATGTCTTACTTTGGTTTCCCACTGTTGAGCAGGTTTGTCAATACGTTTTCCATTGAAACCATGTGTAAAGGACTCTGAATTGGTTCAGTAAACTAAAAGAAGTGTTCCCAATACAATCAGTTGTAAGTTCGCTGTCCTTTCCTACATTGTTTTTCATTGAGGATTGTCCTTTTTTATTTATTTTTCCAGCCTTGCTAAATCAACATGCTTTAGCACTGTGGTTCATTTATTTATAGAGATCTAGCATAATCTAGTTACAGAAAGCAGGCAGTTTTTATACCACAACACCAAAACACAATTTTAATTACGTACATCAAAATTTTCAAACTGTCGATTGATAAAAAGGCAAAGTTCATATTACATGTACTGCCTGCTTTCTGTGAATAGATTATGCTAGATCTCATTAAGTAAATGAACCAGAGTGCTAAAGCATGTTGATTTGGTTATGCTGGAAATATATGTGCATATTATGTTGGATGCTTCAGGCAGAATTCAGCATAGTTTTTCACCTACATGTATCTTTATTAAGGTTACTGATGAGTACCGATTCTGTGCTTGTGGAGGGCTGCTCTCCCAGTAGCGATCAACTCGTCCCCATTGTGACCTCTGAGAAAGCTCGCTCAGATACCATCAGTCAGATCTTCAGTCTAGACTTTGAGACTAACCCACAGAGGATTGTTGCTGACACGGCTCTGGCAGTCACCACAGAACCTGTGGATATCACATATCATGAGGTGAGATTTAGATAGCAACACAATCCATACAGGTCCAGAAATCATTATTGCTTGATTTGTAGGTGACATGTTGAATCTTTACTAACATGTTGCTTCATTGATTCCCAAATTTTTTGGCATTACCACCAAAGGTGGATATTAAGGTCATACATGCATTTATATTATGTCTCATTGTTGAAATTTCAAAAACCAGCAATTACAATGTACCTTAGTCAAAAAATAAGGGTATTTAAATTTTTTAAATGACTTTTAACATGCTTAGAATTACTGTTACTTACTTGAAATGTAAGCTTCTTCCACTGTCTTTCTATGCATTTTGATGTGTTGCACTGCACGATGCCTTGTGTATTGAAAAACCAAGTGCCCTTAGCCTGCCTATTTTGTCACAGCCATCCAGAGTCAGTTGATTCAAAGACTGAAGAGTTTCTTCAAAAATTTACTGAAGGTTCTCAATCTGCGCCTCACTGACAGAACACTGACAATTGGTAAATAAACTTCTCCACCTTTGATTCATTCCTTAGCACACCGTTTCTGAGCTGATCTCATTCCTGACAGTGCCTAACTTAGATGTTGAGGCATTGAAGTCAGTGGCTGCTACCCAACTGCAAGAACTAGCCAAAGCTGGTAAAGAAGGCCTTCTACATGCTGTAGAGAACCACAAGGTATAATCAAACACGTAGCTGCCAGTATATGTACGTGTAAGAGAAGTCGTCGGGAACCTCACATGAACTGGCTGGGATAGGCGTAGAACCTTATGTCCAAATTTGCATGTAAGAGGCACAAAAGTCTGGACAACTGATCAGGTGGGAAACAGTCTGACACGGATGCATTCAAAATGGGCAGTTTGGAAATTATTGTTCTTTCTAGCGTCCTTCCTGTAATGGGTTTTTTTCATGCTTGAAAAAAGTAAATTGCAAATTTCAGGCCAAGCTGCAACTCGGTTTGTGGTTTCAGAGCAGGGCTTTTTGAGAGCAAGGAATTAAGCGTGAACTGATAATGTGATGCATGTGTTCCAAATGATATTCTGAAAATCCCAATGCATGAAGTTACCGGTATACTCAACCCAAATTCAACGTCAAAAATACATATATCCATCTTGTGGCTACAAAAAACTTTGTTAACCACTACCAGCCGGGGACTCCGATTCGGAGCCGTA